TCGGCTCATGGTCAGTAAGTCAGTGCGTCGGACCTAACATGATATAAAACATAATTTTCTTAAATACTCCGTTAATAAATTAACGAGTTACTATGAAACTAAGGTTCATACTCCCTCGGGCAAAGTTTACTTAAAATCAATTTGGCTAATTTTATTTATGTTCCTTTTGGTCATAAAACTTACGTGTTCTTGATTTTATACATGCTTTTGGCTTTCTAATATTGGGATTGAGATTTCTTAATGAAGGTTAATCCAACAAAATGCTTCGAACGCACTAACTGACTTCTAAAGAGTAATTTTCATTCCTTAGCCTCTGTTATTAGCCAATCATTGTCCGCTGTCCTTCGATTACTTTTTGTTTTCACTTTATGACAAATTGAACAAAACTCTGCAGAGATAATGGGTGGAATTATACTTATAAAACTTTTTCATTTCGTTTATGATTAATTGACTGATTGATTGCTGTTTACTTTAAGTCCAGTGGCAAATATTTCATGCATATTCAGATCGAGAACAAATTAACAATGATACAACAGGTAAGATATGCAATGGAGCGTTGTCTGGGATAAAGGGCGGGAAATTATGGCAGCCAGTGAAAAATCAGAACATGTAGGATAAAGATTAACCCGAATAATTCAGTCCCTCTCCTTAAATTAGGAAATAAGGGCAGCCAGTGAAAAATGAAAATATGTTGGATAAAGATTAACCCGAATAATTCAGTCCCTCTCCTTAATCTCATACTTGCGAGGGTGTTAATGTAGCAATCATAGAGCAGAAAAATATAACGACTATATTAATCGGGTTGGATAATGACAAGACATTAGGAGACAGGACACCTACGGACCCCACGGAGAGTTGTTGCTATGGTTCTTTAATGAGCGTATATACTTCCTTTTTTAATTGACCCCTCCTTTTTGAGCGTGGAATCTTTTTTTTTACACGACGAATGTGACTGTGTATTTATACATCCCACACAGTCAAACGGGCGCCCTTTACCGTCGGAACGAGAGAAATCCAAGGATGACCTTTTTTCATACTACAGTCAACCTATGGAATCATATCGTTTATGAAAAATAACAATCGCACCAGACGTAATCTCGATATTGATTCTTCAACTCTCAAGTTATAGAAACGAACGGTGACTGAAGAACTAATACAAATTTTGCTTGGCTGAATATCATAATCGAATGACACAAATCGCACAGTGACAATGGTGTCAATTAGCAATCACTATATATATATTAACCGAAATTTGACGGTAATACATCGAAGGCAATGATGTGGTGTGATTGCCAATGAGACAACTCTACACCAGAGACCAAATGACGTAGAACTTAACAATTATAGGTCACCACATAGCCTTCAACAATGAGAAAAACCCATACCGCTTTGTACAACTGCTGATAAAATATTGTTAGAATTTAAAAAAAACACAATAAGTATTTCTTCATTCCCAAAGGAAAGTTACCATATTACTCTGAAGTAACCAATGGAAGCACATGGCTAAGTTGTCCCCTTGTCAGCCATCCGATGTGTACCAGAAAAGAGTACTGAAAGAATCATAAATAATTTTATAGAGTAAAAATACTGGTATTGTAGTTTAAAGAGGATATGAGATTTGTAAACTGATCAACACTACGAGAACTACAGGGAAACAGGGTTATTTCCCTTTGACAATGAAAAAAAATTAATGATTTGGTAATTTCCAATTAATATTATTTGAAGTCAAAAAGTGATAAAATAATATGAAATGAATATAAGTTTGGTAAACGCTTTAATTTTTCAACTATACAAATGTTTAAATCTTTTCCGATACATTTTTTATCGGACAATTATGAAATACATTGTTTTGTCTTTATCCGTAGCGGTTTGTGGTCATTTTCCAACTTCTGTGTTCTTCATTGTATCCGCTCGTTAGCAACACCTAGCAAATACTTAATATGTTAAACCGGTGCAAGGCACCATTTAGAACTTAAAGTGGGGTCTAACCCCATTTCCGTCTCGAAGGCGTTACTGTGAATTTGAAATGATGAACAGGAATAAACATGCGGTTCTTTGGCTTTGTGTTTTGTCAAGTGTGCGTAAGTATTTTCTGTCATGAAATACTAGTACTTCACTGTGTCACAATATCAATATGCAGAAAAAAATGTCTGCCCTTTTATTGCTCGATTAACCGTCGTGTTGCCCAATGGTAAGCACCAATTCGGTGATGTCACAATTACCTCAACTTTACCACTTTAAGTTTAAAGTTCCAAGTGGTGAGTTTTGGCCAAAGTTTATCAACTTCGATTCAAACATTATAATGATTATGACATCGTCGATAAGTCCGTTTCAAAAGTATGAATGCAGGGTCACCGTGTTTCATATCACAAAAGCCGTGATCTGTCATTTTATGAAGGTTGACCAGATTGATACAGGCAGATAGAAAACCGACAAGTGTCTTTGTTTATTGTGTCCCTTTATCATAATTTCATGGCTGGAGCATTGGTATCAATGTTGAAATGTCAAACGAAAAAATATAAACAAGTTTAAACTGAAAACAACTTTCAAACCTATGATTGCGTTGGATAAAAACCGCAATTTTTATACGTGTGCATGCAAAACAAATTTCTTGTTAGAGGGGTCTAAATACAGCACAAACAACATTTTCCAAAAGACAAAAAAAAGTGAAAAAGTATATTTTAACAAAACGCATTTGGCTAACAGGTCGAACAACAAATGTTCTTAAACCCTGCTGACTGCCATTGGCGATTGCCAAATAAACGGATCACCGATGTAATAAATGGATCTTAATTATAAATTTAATACTAAACAGAAAACAATAAACTTGCGGGAAAGGTGGTATACCGCAAACAAAAGGTGCAAAGGTTTTTGTACACCATATCCGGATTTCGACAATTAATGTCTCTTCAGTGATGTTAGGAATCGAAACGGTATTTGGAAAGCCATACAATTTACCTCAATTTTGGATAGACTCTTGAATTTTGAGGAGTCAAAAAAGGATGAACGGATTATTTATACCCGAAGGCAAATATAATACAAGCCCAAACGAAAAAATATAAACAAGTCTAAATTGAAAACAACGTTCAAACCTATGATTGCGTTTGATAAAATCCGCAATTTTTATACGTGTGTATGCTAAACAAATTTCTTGTTTGAGGGGTCTAAATACAGCACAATTAACATATTCCAAAAGACAAAAAAAGTGAAAAAGTATATTTTAACAAAACGCATTTGACTAACAGGTCGAACAACAAATGTTCTTAAACCCTGCTGACTGCCATTGGCGATTGCCAAATAAACGGATCACCGATGTAATAAATGGATCTTAATTATAAATTTAATACTAAACAGAAAATAATAAACTTGCGGAAAAGATGGTATACCGCAAACAAAAGGTGCAAAGGTTTTTGTATACCATATCCGGATTTCGACAATAAATGTCTCTTTAGTGATGTTAGGAATCGAAACGGTATTTGGAAGGCCATATAATTTACCTCAATTTAGGATAGACTCTTGAATTTTGAAGAGTCAAAATAGGATGAACGGATCATATAAACCCGAAGGCAAATATAATACAAACTTAAACGAAAAAATATAAACAAGTCTAAATTGAAAACAACGTTCAAACCTATGATTGCGTTTGATAAAAACCGCAATTTCTTTACGTGTGCATGCAAAACAAATTTCTTGTTAGAGGGGTCTAAATACAGCACAAACAACATTTTCCAAAAGACCGAAAAAATGAAAAAGTATATTTTAACAAAACGCATTTGACTAACAGGTCGAACAACAAATGTTCTTAAACCCTGCTGACTGCCATTGGCGATGCCAAATAAACGGATCACCGATGTAATAAATGGATCTTAATTATAAATTTAATACTAAACAGAAAACAATAAACTTGCAGAAAAGATGGTATATCGCAAAAAAAAGGTGCAAAGGTTTTTGTACACCATATCCGGATTTCGACAATTAATGTCTCTTCAGCGATGTTAGGAATCGAAACGGTATTTGGATATAATAAAACTTCCCGATTAGACCTTAACAGATTATCCATTTACAATTATAACCTGAACAGAACGGTTAAATAACTTAAAAAGTATAGTAGATACTGAATCTGAACAACTACTATATGGCATGTAATACAAAAACAAACAAATTCAAAATCTGTAAATTTTACTCATCAAAATTGAATATTTCAAATTTAACGGAGAGTAAAGTACATTAGCATAACTGTTTTGACATCAGTCTACCTAGTAGACATTATTTTTGCTATCAGTGCAATTATACAGTCCATCTACATAGTAGATAAAAATCACTATCATTATATAAAGCATATATAATTAGTTTTTTGTAAATACCTTTATCGTTAAATCATATATATATATATATAATCAGAAAAAGTTTTAAAATGCAAAATGATATTGAATAAATAATCTTGGAAAATTTTGCTTTGGTTTTCTTCGCATTGTTTTTTAAGCTTGTTGGATTTAATCTAAATACATGTATTAGGAAAGTTTTACGGCGTTTATGGTGAGTTTTAAGGATATAAAAAAAACACCACAACAACAACAGGCATTTTTCTCTGATATTTTCTTAGAGACAAGTGGCTGTGCCAACAACTCAAATAAACATTCAGAGTGCAGTGTCCTAAACGATTTCAGTCGGCATTGTGCTCTCCAAGTTTAAACACATTTTGATTGTTACTCTTGATTAGTTTTGTATATCAATCAATTTCGATTGCGATTTTTGCTGTTAGAGACGGGGAAATCGCACGTGCAAATGAGCGTTAAAGCAATCGACATCATTGAAAAAATCAAATCCACTATACCTAATGATAATTCTTCTTTGATTATTTTCTTGCTATGGTTTTAGTAGCTGAAAGTGTACCGGTTGAGTCAACACCATTGTGCAGTATTGTGGTTTCCACTGTACAATATGCATTCAAAAAACGATAGACTTTCAAATCGTATCTTGTCTATGTGAATTTTGTTTATCTATACCCAATTTTGTTTTTGTACTAAGGTTCGTTTTGCTTTCTTTATCATTTTTCTAAGCACGTCCAGTTCAGATGTCACTAATTGATTACAGAAAAGACGAGTCAATACGAACTCAGAGTTCCAATCTGATTTATCTATTGTGTAGGAACGTTTTTTGGTAGTTCTGCAAAATCTATGCACATTAGATATAATTTTCTTAAAATGTCGTACTTCGGTATGGAAAGAATCCTTCTGTTGAATTATTTGATTTTCGAGACGTGTTTTGAAGAATTGATACAGTAAGTTATCAGCATTGTTGATATTCCTTACAATGTCTATATCTTCTCTTGTCAGATTTGGTTTGACGGTATTCCGCCATACGCCTTTGTTAACAGGTTGATATAATATATCTTGTATATCCCAGCATAGATATCTTCTCATCAAAACAAGAGATTCGTCGAAAAGTTCAGTTATGATTACAAGTGTGAAATCCTTATCAAGCTCTCGGATGTAATCGAGAACAAACGAAGTATTTGATATTTTCGATTTGGGTATTCCGAAATCATATGACATTCCATTTGTAAAAGATCGCCCTATAGCATAATCTTGGTATATCTTCCTCACTATAAATTCGTGTAAAAGCAAACTCCGTTTTATATTTGGAAATTTCCTGAGAACAACTTTATTAAAGTTAAAGTGGTAAAATGCAGACTTGAACACTGATAATGGATCACGGAGTATACCAATGCGAACCGTGTCATTTGGCATAATCTTCTCAAATTCTTGTTTATTATAAATTGCATGGTTGCAAAGAATGTTATAAGACATATTTTTTGGTAACTGAAGTACTGTTTCTTTCAATTTTAGAAATTTAGATGATAGATAATTAAACATAGAGCCATTGTCACGCTTTGGAAGAACCATGTTTAAATTGTTGGCTTGTGCAAATCTTGTAAAAATTCCCCATGCTGTTGTACTTCCTGTTTTGTGAACTTTTACGAATATCACATTTCTTTGTTTATTGCATATGTTCTTTGCCGATTCGTTCGATATATTATCTGTGTACGATCTTGTAAGGAAGAATCGATCTGGTATTGCTTTAAATGATTCTGATGACATTGCCCTCTTTTCTAATCCGCCCAAATTAGGCGACGCCCACTGCATTTTCGAGTTGACATTTATATTTAATTTATGTATTATTACAAAGATCACAATTGCAAATATTCCAGTTAACCTGAAAAAGAAAATTAATTATTTGTAAAATAGTATATTAAAGATCAAGTGTGTTAGAACAAAAATTGTGAAGTAGATTTTTAATTGCTTATTTGTCTGTTATTACAGACAATACGGGGAAACGATCAAAAACGAATATCAGTAATATTGATGCGCCAATTGTAGGTTAAGGTGACTTTCTTTCACATGAAACTTCGTTTTATATGCAAGGTTGTATAAAATTCTCTTATAACCTGCTGTCGCTTAGATCTGGACCATAGCGTAAAAATTAATCCAACCTCATTCATGAAAAATTAAGGTCAAGTTAACACAATTTTAGCATAATCAAGAATATTTTACCATAAAACAGCCAAAGAAATTATTGAATAATACCTGAAATATGTTACCGCTTAAACTGACATAATTATTGAGTGTTTAACTGTCATATGACTAACTGACGATTTCAGATTTATATTTATCTAGCTATATCATCGTTATGTGTCGCATCATTTCAGTCGATTAATATCGATTTTTTTTTTCGTCATCGCGGGACAGCTTTGTAGGAGCACAACACATGAACAAACTGTAAAAATCAAGACATATCTGCTCTGCACAAATCAGAAATAACCGTTAACATGAGGACAAAAACAAGGTACAGACCCAAGAGCACACACAGTTACCGAAAGTCAGCTTAAAGCCAGTTTCAACTAACAAAAAACCAGGTTTTAAATATATCAATCAGTACACATCCAATGAATTTATTGTAAAGACGTCATAAACAGTCGGCGAAAAGCATGACATTGTGCAACGCTAAAATATGAATATTGGCAGGATGTAGGACCATAAGTGTTCATACGTATATCAATACATATTAGTTATGTTTTATTGTGTTAAAATTAAATAAAAAATCTATCTAAATTTACGAGCTATACACCCACCTTTTCCCCGGGATTTTTTTTTTTGGGGGGAGGGGGCTCTAAAATAGCATCACTGTAAAAAATAGGATGTGATATCACGTTTGTATAAATAAGGTTTCTATATGTACAGCCAAATTTCCAAACCAAATATGTGTATCTATGAAAAAATTTAGTAAAGGTTTTAAGTAATTTATGGTAACGAAATATCGGACTTAAAAATTTAGCAGTTATTGATATATTACGTTCATTGAAATCTAAAACGTCACTACAAACACGGGCATAGCGAACGATTTGGGAAATATACACACCGTACAAGGGGATCTTAGGAAAATCACTGTCCATAACATTGCGTCGTCAATCCTGCTTCGTTTAAAATACTGTTCAACCAAGAGCGATACAGGCCGGTTTAATTGGCGAATCATTTATTGAATCTAAATATTTTGAAGATAATTTAATTACTTAAACTATACAATTTACTTACTTCCATGCTGATAGCAATTTTTTCCAGTACACTAAAAGCATTCTGCAGTCATTTGTAAAATGAACTTTTTTCACTTTTCATCTGTTACCATATTAAATAAGATTTTCTATCGTTATTTATTTGCCAACGTCTTTACAGTTTTATTAGTGTTATTCTTATTTATGCATTATTTACACACTTGTAATGGTTATCAGGCTAAACTGACAGTCTTACGACCCAACACTATTAATAAAGATGTATTTAGTCAATAACTGGACAATATGTGACAAAGTTGTATTGATGCGGAGCAGTGTTGTGATGAAGTTTTATTAAAAATAAATCAATGTCACAAATCCGAAAAAAAAAACCGCTTTTTTTCAAAAGAATCTGAAATGAATCAGCTATAGTTTTGTTCCGTTAACACTTTTTTAAATTGTTTTATTCTTCTTGAATCAGTTTTATTGTTCTAATATGCTAACTTCCGCAAAGAATATACACAGCACTTTTCAGAAGGGAATTATAAAAGGAATAAATCATTTTGTGTTTAAACATAGAGATAAAAAAGGAACTGCGCTATTTAACGATTCTGACAGTGAGAATTCTAGGCTGTGAAACCAACTTGAAATTAATTTCCAGTGATATTGAAATCTTTCCTGATGGGACTTTTAGATGATGCCCGAAGTATTGTGCACAGCTATACACTTTTCAAGATTATACTAATTGTTATTATGTTCATCTAGTGTTCTGTTTTTACCATGTAAGTCTGGAGAATGTTAAATTACAGTTCTTCAATGTGTACTGTACGCACTAATGATCAGTGCATCTAGTATATAGTTGTACCCTTTATCAAAATAGGATACCAAAAAGAGATCGTTTAACTAATTACTTTAATTCAGCCAGGGTTAACCTACCTGTCAAAATCTCGGATGAAAGAGGATCGATGGATGCCATCTTAAAAAAATACAAACCAGTTTTACACTTCGATTGGAACAACTGTTTTGGGTTGTTTGTTTTTTTTTTTTTTTTGTTGTTTTTTTTTGGGGGGGGGGGCGTATTAATAAATTGGTACAAAAGGAGCATTGGCACAATTGATTCCTTCTTTGGCAAAAAAGGAGCGAGCTGGCTTAATGTATTGAAAGCATAATATTTATATCAGAAAATTAAACATTATGAAGTAAGTGTATCTGAGAAATACAAACCACTCCTATTGGAAGCTCAGAGTATTTTCTTCAAACATGGGAGTAAAGGCATATAAAAACGTATGGAGAATTTATGAAGCAATTAAAAAAAATGTAGGGAAATTGCTTGAATAAAAAAAGAAACAAAGTAATCGTTAATGCGACTGCAGTTAAATTGAACACGTTCATTAAAATCACGGTATATCTAGAGGTAACCATACTGTCTTAAACGATTAACTAGTGGTCACATACCAAATATCAAGCTCTAATGACATGATATGAAATTAATTGCAACAAAAATCCTACATAGAAAATTAAAGATTGGGCTATAAATTACCCACAATAGGAAACAGATGAACTCGTGCGTTGTAGAAGGGAAACAGTCCTGATTAGCTCGTGTTGCTTTAGCAAGAAAAATTGAGGTGACAAATCTCATTCGGTGATGTCATACACGTGAAATTAGATCGTGATTATGGCTACGACAAATGGAATATAATCTATGACACAAATATTCTATAACGGCCAACTAAATTAGTATTACGTACTTGCAACATTCGAAGACATGGCTTCAACTTTGCCATAAGAAACCCTTTGTTCTTTGTAAGCAGCAACCCTGTATCAAGGAAGTCATCGTATGAAATGCAAGTTCTGGAATATCTATAGAAAATGCAATCCATATGCAAGTGATATAACCTAAAAATATAAAGTTCACAACATGAAAAGTTGAAAGCATCTCGTTTGTCATACAATGTAGTACGCAAACGAACTTCCTTGTCATTTCTTGATGTTAGTTAAGAAACGAAGCAAATGTAACTTTATCTGTGGTATACTTTATTTTAGTTTCAAAGGGGATATATGTGATCAACAAATTTACCAAAGTGAATACATCATTTATACAGCGGAACATTTAGTTAAATAATAATGCTGGCTTCTTTTCATTCGGCTTGTCAATGAGAAGGCTCTTTATAAATATAAATAAAAGAAGATGTTTTGAGATAACGACAATGAAGCAGTAACCCTATGACAAAAATAATCAAAAGACAAATATAATGTATAGAGGGCAACATACAGTTTTCATCAATAGACAAATGTTTACACATGTCAGCTTTTAAGTCGTGCCGAGTTGATTTACTTTGCGAATACTGAGGATTTACCTATTTTCGTGGGTACCAATTTTCGGGGATTGAGGAAAAGTTGTATTTTCGTTGATTTGATTTCGTTGTTTTGCAAAAGGTTGTGTACAAGCCTATAGAAAATTAATACTTCGTTGAACATTTGAATTCGTGGTTTTACTTTACCAACGAAATCAACAAAAATTAATACCCACGAAAAATAATGAATCAACATTTAATTAAGCAAAAACAATCAAAGTTCTGTCATCAACCATTAAATTCTCCAAATAACAAAACAAACGATTAAGATTTGGCATTAGGATAGGGACAGAAACATGTGGCAGGGTTATACTAGGTTTTTTTTAAAACCTCAACATCCCTCGTTTTTTTTTATTTTCATCAGTGAACTAATAAAACCAACATATAATAACAAACAATAAAAATAGTACAAGACTAGTCTCGTGTGAATAAAATACCAAGTCGACAAGCAGAGGAGCACGGATGGTTCCCATAAGAAGTTGGACTAATTCTCTCATCTGTCTTTCAGTTTAGAATGGGGAATATTTGTATACATGATAGTATTGCACGATAAAAGGAACATGGAGAACTGTCTCATTGGCACAAATACCACATCTTCTTATATCTATATAGCTTGTATTCTGGTCAATTCTTTCAGAGATCTTTTTTACCTTTTAGTATCCACGTAATCTAATTTTACGCCGCCTCAAGGGAATTTATTTTCACAATAACTTAAAAGCCTGTTGTTTTGATTGCTCAGTCAAAAGGAGCCACTATTATCATGAATATGCAAAGTATAGTACATAATGAACGTGCCAATCCTTTGCAAAAAATATAATATAAAGTGATAATAAATAAAAAGTTTTCTATACGCATAAATTGATAGAAAGTTATAAATGTCTTCTTAAAATTTATCAAAAATAGTCTATTCATGCACTAAAATATTTCTTTTCATATATATATATATGTAAAAAATTCGTAAGGGTTCCGCGGAACCCAGTGTCTCGCCTACTTTTGCTGTTAATCG